AAAGTTGTTAGGTTTGTTAGGCCGGGTGTCAACACAGCATTTTCAAGACAGGTCCAAGATTGTGGGTGTGTAGTATGTAGTAAGAACCATTGTTTAGCTCAATTGGTAGAGCATTGGTCTTTGGGCCGGAAAGTCGTGGGTTTGAGCCCACCAGAAGACCTACTTCACAACTCCCGTTGATGTCTGCTGTTGTTGTAGGAGGATCACTGAGACCCAGAAATGGAAAAGAAGATGGATGGAAGTAAAGGCCAGGTTAAGGGGAACAGGATGCGAGTGGGACAGGTGCTAAGAAGGACCAGGTTGGGATCAGGCCAGACAATGGTGAAGAGAAGGAGGAAAAAACTTTTCAACAAACTGAACTAAAGAAAATAGTGCTGGTGTTGGCACCACAAAAGGATACTGGAGATGGGAAAAAGGCAGATGAGTACAAAAACCCAATTCTCAGAGCATCCTCCCCTCACTGACTCTAAGCCTAAAGTGCAGTGTTTTATTACACTTACCCGCAGCCCTCACCCAACAAATTTCAAACATATCATGCCTTTCTTTGTAATAATGTTGATAATTGTCTAGCAGCTTGCATTAGATAAGATAACAGAGACTTCATGGATCTCACACTGGATAGATTTACGTGTCACATTTGCCATCAGAATCATTCAGGTTGAGCAAAAGACAGAAGTGTGCAAACATGCTAAAGGTTAAAAATATAGTCTGTGCAGGATATAATTATTTACAATAAAAAGTGGCAAAAAAGAAAGAGTAGCAATAGCAGTGCAGGTACATTAGTGCATTAGTGACTTAAAGTATGACAGCGGTGGAGATAAAGGCCCTGCGGAAGCGCTCCTTCTTGGACTGTGGGTGTCTCAGTCTTCCACTGGAGGAGCTCCTCTACAGTCCTGTGCAGTGGGTGGGAGGTGTTGTCCATGATGGAGGTGAAGACTTTGACTATAGCACCCTCCTGTCCCTCACCTCCTCCACAGAGTCCAGGGGGCAGCACAGAGTGGAGCTGGCCCTCCTGACCAGCTTGTTCAGTCTACTCCTGTCCCACTCTGTGCTGCCCGGGGCCCAGCACACGGCAGGGTAATATATGGCAGACGCTACCACAGAGTCATAAAAGCGCACGCACATACACACACACACACACACACACACACACACACACACACACACGTGTGCACACACATGTTATGCACTGAACTGCTGCACTTTGTATCAGAGCAATGTTGACAAGTGTGCAATGTGTCTTTTCCTAAGCAACGCGATCCATTCGAGCTGTTAGCGCTACAGTAGCAGAATGTAAACAGGAAGAGAAACTGAAACTTAAATCGGACAACGAGGTCGTTGCTGAAGTTACTAGTAGCGCCACCATCTGGACCAAGCGTCGTACTACAGCACAGTTGCAAGAAGAAGCTCTCGTGACCGCGGGCCGTGCAGTCCGGGCGACTTGGCCTAGTTTGTTTGTAAAACTTATGTGACCGTGCCCTAAATATTCTACAGTCTGACTCCTGGGTCTACAGTCTGTCCGCCGGCGATAGCGGATCCCTCTCTTCAAATGTGAATCCCCAAGGTTTCTCACTTTTTTCCAACTGTGTTTTATTGAGTAGTTCTTTGCCAATGCAGAAGGGTCTAAGGACATTTATGGACATTTACCTACAGCTTTCATAATGGTCGGATTTTGTGGGGATTTTAGTGTCCCTTATCATCCGGAACCTTTTTTTGTCTTAAATCCTTCGGTTTTCTTTAAATCAACACTTTACTGCCACAAACTCTGATGTTGTTTTGCCTGCTCTGACTCCGCTCTGCCGCTGCTCTGATCAGCAGCTCTGATTGGTTAAAGCGTGGTTGAGCTCCTCTGTGCACGTGCACAAGAGCCACACAGGTGTATTTGGCGCAACGCATCATGGGAGCTTGTCCACTGCGCAGAACCGGGAGGACCAGACGTATGTCCCATGCGCTACTGGGCACAAGCCATTCATTTGAAATGGGCACCATCTTGGATCACTAGGGCTTGGGATAGTCTACAAACACTGGATAGATAGATAGATAGATACTTTATTGATCCCCCGTAGGAGAAATTCAGGTGTCTAGTTGCAGCAAAAATAAAAAATAAAATGTGTCATTCTAAAAAGTTAAAAATAGTAATAATCAGCAATAGCCCTTCAGGTCACAGCAGAAGAGGTGGTGTAGCCTCTGGGTGGAGCAGGACGGGTCAGAGCAGCAGAGGTGGTGTAGCCTCTGGGTGGAGCAGGACGGGTCAGAGCAGCAGAGGTGGTGTAGCCTCTGGGTGGAGCAGGACGGGTCAGAGCAGCAGAGGTGGTGTAGCCTCTAGGTGGAGCAGGACAGTTTAAGGTGGAGTAGCCGCTTGGACCATTTTCTCTGCTCTAGTCCAAAGTAAAATGCTAAATGCTTCATTAGCATTTTTTTTTTTTAAGTCAGCATTCCTCCAGTGGATTTATGCTCTTTCTCAACATGAGCCAGAAGCAAACACTTTTCCTCTGTCTAGTTGGGTTTTCTCTTTCTTTTATTCTCCATTGCTGTTCACTTGTTAGTGGCATTGTGAAAGTCAACCAACACAGCTTCTTGCAGGCTGGTCAACAATCACAACTGTGCAATCTTACCCTGGTTACACCAAAGTGAGTAGAAATGGTAAAAGTTGAAAGAGAAAAAATAATAAGCCTGGTAATAAACATAAGCAAATAAATTTAACAATCAGTGTGTTAATACTGTGCAAGTGGGCCTAAGTTTTCACAAGTTCTCTGTAATGATTTAAAAGTATAACTTACTATTCACAGCATTTATTTATATTGATCTATCTTTTATTTGGCATATCATTTGCAATGCCACAGTCTTCCTAAGATTAGATTCCATGGTTAAGTTTGTCCATTTGAGGGCTCATTGTCACCAAAAATATGTTTCCTACTTTTTAGATCAACCAATCACAGCGTCTGAAATACGGCCCCAGAATATTATATCTGAAAATAACACAAATTAAAGTGATAGTATGTAACTTTAAAGTAATTACAAATTTTAAGAATTGTAGTAAATTGACCTCCTGGCCTTAAATGTTGATATAAAATAAGTCATTTTATTAATTCTAATATTACAGTCAAGTCCCGCCTTCCCTTCCACGATGCTGTCCACGTTAACCAATCGAGTCATGCCAAGGGCTGTCAATCATCAGCGCTGATGCTTGTAGCGGAGGGAGCTTGCGTCGTTTTTTTTCAAATCAAGTACCTCTCTCTCTCTCTCTCTGACAAACTGCAGACAATCACCTTAACAAAACATTAAAAAGTAATAGATTTCACCACAATGTATATTCTTACACACATGTATACATAGTTCCCACATGACGTCACTACATACGGGGATTTGCCGACCCGGCGCCATTTGTGTTGGCATTCTGTGGGCAAAACAATAGAAAAAGAAGCTGAAACGTGTTAATGTCGTGATAAAGTTGAAAATGGTCATCTCCTGCTGGGTCAATGGATGTTCAAATCGTGCTGGAGGTTCCGTTAAACTTGGATTTTACAGTATACCCATCATTAGACTTCATGAATGTGAGAAGACTAAGCTTTTGTCAGAACAACCACGGAGGTTATGGCTTGCAAAGATAAACAGGCAAGAAACTCCCTCAAAACACGCAAGAATATGCTCGGAGCACTTTGTGTCAGGTGCGTATCGTATCTTATAATGTGTTGACAGACGTAATTTACTCAGTACTAACTTGTGTATGCTGATATCTGGTAACTTGAGAGTTTCATTATTTAGCGTTAGATTACTTTATTATGAGGAGGATCGGTGTCGCGTCCGAGGCTCTCGAGGGCAACGTAAATGTATTAAATAGATAATAATAGTTCTATGGTGGGCTAAAACAATGTTCACAAACAGCATTGCTTCCGTAAAAAGATCTGTGTCATAAAATAAACTGCTCTTTACGCCTGGAAAAATCAGTTGCCCACCATTCACCAAAACATACGGTCAAAAACGCGGAAATAAACAATAACAGCAATCCAGAGTGTCCGTGTGGCATTAGCATTAATTAAATTAATTGTTAATATAATTAAAATAATTAAATGGAGCTCCAACTGGTATTAAATCTAAAGTTTTTGAGAAATGTTTGCATTGCTTGTTAATTTTTGCTGCATAATTTGATCAAATATGTAAAACATGTCCGTAGCACGTTAAACTGTGGTGCCATTGTATTAATATACAATTATTTGCTCAAAAGTTGCCCTTTTTTTCCAATTTGCGTTTGAATATCTACATTTATTCTCATTCTTCTGTTTAATGGAATGCACAAACGTGCGTCTCCGAGGAGGTCATGTGACATTCATTGGTCTGTGGGAACTATGTATATGTAGAGTGCCTGACTTAGTGGTGAGGAGATAATCAAATGGTTTATTGACACATGTTTTGATTACTGACTAGTAAACAAAAAAGATCTAGTTTATAATAAAACTACCAAGACAAAACAAAAACACATTATCCTTAAAAATAACCCGACTAAAACTATTAGTATCAATCAATATCATGCGTCCATCTATTAAAACATAAACTGTAAACATTCAACCCAGTATGCTGTTCTTTTCCCAAGCTGCAGGCGGCAGCTCACAGCAACAGAAGTCAGCAGCGGAGGTTTATTAATCCCATCGTTTTGTCTTGAAGGAAGAAATTTTAGTCTGTGGATATAACCAAGCGTAACAAATTATTTTGATGTACCTGTATTCATTTAAATAACTATCATAAAGTTCATCATACATTTTACGCAATCCTTCAATGAGCGAGCGTGTACTAATAAGTTAAATTGAATGGCAAGGGAAAAGCCTTACGACAAAAAACGGGGTAAATAAATCGGCCGAGTGAGTTTCGTTAGAGAGGTTCCACCACGTAGGAAACAACGTGTTTCATTATGGTCATTATTTTTTTATTTTCCCTCTATGTTACTCTTCTTTTAGTCTTTTAATTATTTTGGGAACTAACAGAGATTATACGTCCTGTGAAAAATGGCAAAACAGGCCTCTTTGTTACTTCGCAAACAACTATCAGGTAATTTGACTCACGCATAAAGAAAATTGAGGGGTCTACGAACTTAGCTAGATATCACCATGGCACTCACGTTTTTGTTATATATTATTCTATTCATAATTATTCTATATTCTGAATCAAAGACCGTTACACGTGTATCGATATTCCCACGTGGTGAAGTTGTGCCTCTGCCAGACACGTTTATTGTGCAATCCTCATGTATTTTCTTCTTTTTCATCTCTGATTGTAACTTTCGGCACGGTGGCTGAGTGGTTAGCACTCTCGCCTCTCAGCAAGAAGGTCCTGGGTTCGAATCCCGGTTGGACCAGGGCCTTTCTGAGTGGAGTTTGCATGTTCTCCCCGTGTCTGCGTAGGTTTCCTCCGGGTGCTCCGGTTTCCCCTACCACTAAAAATATGTACAATAAGTCTGGCATGTGCCTCCTGTACTGGCACCCCCACACAAAATAACAATTGTAAACCGCTTTGAGACTCCGATGTGCAGTGAAAAGGCGGTATATAAATAAAGATTACTACTTACTACTACAACTTTTGTGTCTAGAGCTCAACAAGAATCCAGTGGAAGGGTTTTCAGCAGGACTTGTGGACGATGAAGACATTTACAAGTGGGAAGTACTGATCTACGGACCTCAGGATACACTGTAGTGAGTTATAGTAACTAATTTGTATTAGATGTATTCGTATTTAATGTAAATAAATATAACCTAAAAAAATATGTCATTTCATTGCTTTGACCATGTGAATGCAATGGAAATATTAGCAGGACAGATATTCAGATTTATTATGAAAACTAAATGAAATGAAATAAATTACCTCTAAGGTGGTCTAAACTACAGGCAGTGTTCACCTTTTTGAGGGTAAACATGTTTTTTTTAAAGTGGTGTGTGATTAACAAAATAAAGCTTATAATGGTTGTGACTAATGACTTAATGAAGGGGATTACAAGTAATGAAACATGTATTTGCATTCTTATTTTTCCCACAGTGAGGGAGGTGTATTTAAGGCATCACTTACCTTCCCTAAAAATTATCCCCTGAAACCTCCCAAATTGAAGTTTATTACAGAAATCTGGCACCCAAATGGTAAGAGTTCAAATGTTGTGTATGTTCTGTAATTAACTGATGGTAATCCTTTCCCCCTTTATACAGTTCTAGCACTAAATTCCAACATTAGCATTTAAAAACCAACATGTAACTGTCCAAAGCCTTAAAATACATGAGTACATAGAGTGATGGAAATGTATAGTCCATCACTTTATGTACCACCACAAAAAATTATCAGGAAATGTACATTACTGCTGTTTCTCACATTCTTGTGTTTTTTTTCCCAGTGGCAAAAAATGGTGAAGTTTGCATCTCCATCCTTCATGACCCCGGTGAAGATAAATATGGCTATGAGAAACCAGAGGAGCGTTGGCTGCCAGTTCATACGGTGGAGACTATAATGATAAGTGTAATATCCATGCTGGCGGACCCCAATGGAGATTCACCTGCCAATGTAGAAGCAGCAGTGAGTGCCTTTTAATGCTGGGGCACACCAACTGACCAACCCAACGTCTGGTGTCCGGGTTTCAGATTTTAGATACATAAAATGAAAAGTACCCAAATCAGATTCTTCTATTGACAATATATATTGAGCATGAGCAGCAAGGTTCAAGGGAAGCAAATTATTGTCAGTTTTTATATTTTCAATTATAATGACCCTGATTATACATTTATAACCCCCAAGTCTCATATAAATTCCAGGGGCGCCTTGCATGAACTGCAAATTTGAACTCTCCACAGATCGGCTCAATCATGTCATAACTGGAAAATAGAAAATTACAATATATGGCTTCTTACAAGCATTAACATGCGTGAAATTTGTTTCTGCATCTTCATAATCTGCAATATTGTCAAAAATATATAGCTTTCTGCCAGGTGGTAATTTACAAGTACAACTATATGTGCAAACAAGTTTCCTTTGTGTTACGCTGTTGGTCAGCTTTGGAGGAGGATTGGTGTGTCCACATCTTAACTATTGAAAAAGAGATTGTGAATTTTATACTGTTCTGAAATAAAACTTTGCTTTTCCCCTTTTTGCATCTACAGAAAGAATGGAGGAAAGACCCTACTGGGATATTTAAGAAAAAGGTTGCTCGCTGTGTGAGGAAGAGTCAAGAGACTGCTTTTGACTAAATGTCATCATGGTAAATAACACATTCTCACAAGTCGATTGTCCCACTACTGTACATACTCATCTCTCTGTCTTTAGGTTGTAACTTGACACGAACGAATGGCGCTGCTGCACCTTAAGCTCTCAAAACCAGGATGTGGAGCTTCCGTTTGTTACAATTTTTGTTTTTCTCTTTAGTTTAGTTTGAAATAATCTCATTTTTCAATGATAGGATTATATTATTGTCCACACAGAATGTTGATCGGTTCACTCAGAGCGTTAGTGATCCAACAGCAGTCAGTGTGGTTAACAGATGCTGCTTTATCAAAGTTGACATTTATATCATGTATATATAAATAACCTTGATAACCTTTCAAAGTATCTTTTCATACACTTGCATCCAGGTATGAGTCAAAATAAAATATTTTAGTTTGATTAAATCCAAAGTAAAGATGTATCCCTCCACTTAACAGTTTACAGTTCTGAGGACTAAAACTAAAGAGCTTTACAAAATATTTGATTCAAATTGAGTTTCAAACATTATGGAATATGTGGATATCTATTTAAGAACATATACCGCTGTAAATAAAAAACATTTCACCCAGATCCATGATTTTATTGCATCAAGTACCAGCTCAATATGAATAACAACCTTTAAGAGACATTTATTTTAAACTTAATAGTATAAAATCTGCGAAAACAAAAGATCAATCCATTTTGCAGGTGAAGAGTAGAAAAGTGCTGGCCTGGTGACTCACTGACCAGGAGCTGATAAGCTTTTGTTCATAAACTGTTTCTTGACAAAGCACACCCACCACTGAAACAGACGCACAGAGAAATGTTAACATTATTGTAAAACGTATTTCCCTGAACTGCAGAAATCCACTCACTTTACTGGGTTTGTCTGTTTGAGGATCAAAGACACGGTCACACAGCCTCAGGCCAGTTTCCTGTCGGATCTGCTGAAGGTATGCCCTCATGGTCTCTGGACAATCAGCAAAAACATACAGTACATAGTTACTTGATCTATTGCAGCGGCACTAATCCTGTTTACCTAAAATCAGAAACTATCAGTAATTATTTGGTCATTGCAGTGCATGTTCAATTACATATGAAAGTGCTTATTTTTCACTTATTTTTGATCATATTCATCAGGCCAGTTAAACCCACAAGTTTGTCCAATTGAGTTGATCTTAATTTAGATCGATTCTGAAGAGTGCAGGCCCTTTCCTTGCTGCTACCCTTTCATCCCCCCTCTGACTAGAAGGAGTCAACACATATCTGTCATATCACATCTGTGACATTGTGCCACATTTACTTAGGAGCACAGGGACTGGCCTCCTGCCGGGGCACTGAGGAGCACCATCTGCAGGTGGCCAGAGTCAGGACTAAACATGGGGAGACATCAAATTTAAGCAGGTCAGGAATGAAGATTTTTACATTAATAACTAGAGATAGGGTGCGTTGGAAAAGAGGCCTACAGTTCAATAATGAGAACTATTCCTGCACACAGCCCAACTTGCTAAATAGTCCTGGTGTGCGGGAATAAATATCCTTTGATCTAAGCAGCTAAATTCTGGCACAACTTAAATATGGAACAAATTCCTACTCTGACAATGTTCAAATCCAGGTTAAACTACTGGGTTTTGAGGTTTGTATTCTGCTGCATGGCTCTTGGACTTGGAAAAGAGATCTTTTCTGTGCCCTATTCATTTACTGAAATTATGCTTTTAGCTTGTTATTGAGTATAATTTGTACAGTATAAAACATTACCTAGTGCCAGATTGTAAACTGTTTTAATGATGCTAATTGGAAAGCCAAATGTTAACATATGATGGTACTCGAGATACATGTTATTTGTGTGAAAATTCTATGTTGCGCATTCTTACCATCCTCCTGCTTGTTTGCGGGTTTTGCATACATTGCATTGAGGGGGAAGCCAGGCTCTCCAGGAATGGGAAAGTTGGTGATACCCAAAGTGTACATCTCTTTTTCACCAGCATTCCTGGAGCTGCACTGTAGAACAAAGATAAAGGTTAAGAAGAGGGCAAGAAAAGAACAATTGTCAATAGTTTTACCTTTTGTAGTTTCTTCAGACATTCAGAGATGTACAGAGTGACGTAGATCAATGTCCTGTCTGCCTCATTCTGATGAAAAATAAACATTGTTATTAAACAGTTAATAGGAAGACAGAGCAACTACTGCAGTAAAATACTATTGCCACAACTATTACAGAAACAAGTCAGAACATGTGGAAGAATGACAACAGCAAGAGCAGAAAGGCAAGCAAACGATTCATAAACGAGCCATTCTTACCTTGATTTCATAGTTCTTAAAGAAAACGTTGGCCTTGAAGTAATAGATTGCCTCATCGATTATATCAGAGTCAATACCTGGAAAACAGTTGTTTGGAGTTATTTTTTACTATTTATAAAACCACAAATATATTTGATCTAAATTATCATAGGCTTATTGTGGCTTGATTTCCACACGTTTCTCAACTACTTGCAAATGCTATAAATACATTAGGTCAATAAATAGCAACACTACAGTTCCATTTGATTGTACAGCATAAATGGTTTGAAATAATTGTTTAAAATTTAAGTCAGCCCCAACTACAACGCCACAGTTTGGCAAACCTCAACATTGACACAAGAAAAGTTAACATAATCAACACCAGTGTATGCAGTTTGCACCATATATGGACATAAGATTATCAGGAAGGAAACTGAACCAAGTCTGTACTAGTAATGCATTTATTGAATTCAACCTAAATGTCAAAGGGAGAACCTTGACGTAATTGATATGACATATGGCATGTTAAATGCATGTAGAAGCCTCACCGTCTCCTCTTGCAGGACCTTTGAATTGGGTTTTGAGAGGGAGCAAAGCCATGTTCCCCACCAGCCTGGTGTCGGGGGCCATCAAGTTGGAATGATACGCCTGAAAAAGATTCAATCACAAGAGTGTTTCTATTATTTATGGAGGTGTGACGAGTGTCAGTCAAGCTACAGATTTACATTTACACAATTTGTATTCGCTGTATGCATTTGTATGAAAATGGGATGTAAAAAATACTTAATCATTTGTGTTACAATGATTTCTGTCTATCCCTCAATATTAGCTTAAAATCTACAGACTTAGGAAGCATTAAAACACAGATAACTCTATAAGCTTTTTTCAGAATTGTGGTGTGGATGTAGTAGTCTCTAGTCTTCCTGTCACGGGGATATAGCGGTGATAATTGTATTGAGTATCACTACAAATGGCAAGGCAAGGCAAGTTTATTTATATAGCACAATTCATACACAATGCAATTCAAAGTGCTGAACAAAACAAGAAAGCATAACAATCATAAATAATAAATAATAATAAAATAACGAAATAAATCATTACAAAATATATTAGCAAACTAAATTAGACCGATACCGATCTCAAAAGTTGCACATAAAACAGCAGTCTTAATTTATGTTGCATTTGCAGCTGCTAGCTACTGTTGCTGCTAACGCCACAGCTAGCGTCCCCTCGTAGGCCACTGGTTCCCCCAGAATCTCTTCTAAATAATCATCTCAAAAAGCTCCCGCCATGTGTGAATGCATTGATCCATTACTCACCGGCATGTTGAATGATAAATATCAGTCAAACTGCACGGCCAAAGGAAAATCTGCACCACTGTTGCTTCCGCTTGTCCCACCCAACAGATCCAGGAAGTGGGTGCAGTGCGCGAGTTGTGCACGTGGGGGCGCTGTGTTGTCAATGACGTGATATATACATGGTCTAGGCAAGGCAAGGCAAGGCAAGTTTATTTATATAGCACAATTCATACACAAGGCAATTCAAAGTGCTGAACAAAACAAGAAAGCATTAAAATCATAAATAATCACAGAACATTAAAAAAAAAGATAAAAATATAAAATCCCTCAGTTGTATGCACAGCTAAACAGCACCGTTTTTAACTTGGTTTTAAACATTGTCAGAGAGGAGGCCTGTCTCACATCTTCAGGAAGACTGTTCCAGATTTTAGCAGCATGAATCTGAAAAGCAGCCTCCCCATGTTTAGTTCTGACTCTGGGCACTAACAGGAGTCCAGTCCTTGTGCTCCTCAGAGTCCCAGCAGGAGTCCAGTCCCTGTGCTCCTCAGAGTCCCAGCAGGAGTCCAGTCCCTGTGCTCTTCAGAGTCCCAGCAGGAGTCCAGTCCCTGTGCTCCTCAGAGTCCCAGCAGGAGTCCAGTCCCTGTGCTCCTCAGAGTCCCAGCAGGAGGCCAGTCCCTGTGCTCCTCAGAGTCCGGGCTGGTTCATATGGTACTAACATGTCACTAATATATTTTGGTGCGAGGCCATGGAGAGACTTGTAACAAGCAGAGCTGTTTTAAAGTCTATTCTCTGAGCCACAGGAAGCCAGTGCAGAGACCTGAGGACTGGACTAATGTGGTCATACTTCCTATGTCTATGGATGTGACACGTGCACAGCTCTGTGGATTTTATTTGTTCTATAGACACGTACAACAGTGTCAACCTTGTGTTTTATTTAAAGTCAAACATCTAAATTATTAATATACAAAAATGAAGCGCTCCAGAGAGTATATACAAGTTATGGTGTGGCAAGGCAGATAAACAGGAACACAAAATGTATTTATTTATGAAACATACTTCATAAGGCTTTCTATGTCACAAATATGTTACCCAACAGGTTGTCATCTTTATGTACCAAAACACTTTTCTATGTAGCAACCATTTTTCTTACATGTTTTCACTTTGTTTAGAACTATGACGTTATTTTGTGTTAGAATAAAAAATAAAAAATAGAACTATAAACTCCCAAATGTCTTAAAAAAGAGATCTGATCTCAGTGGGACTTCACAAGATATAAAGGCTGTATTTGCTGATCATTATGATTCAATTCAATGAAATTAATGTATGTCTGCAAAAAAGTCAAACAAATAACAATACTTTACTGGCTGCAGCCTTCTTGCCTTAATGTACAATCTTCTAAACATTCATACATGTTTATGAAATAACAAGCTATTCGTTTTCCCAGTCATATACTCGTAAATTCTCTGTAGATTTAATGCTTTCTCAACATTCAGATTTGCCCTGAAAAATCTCATCATAATTCAACTCTTCTTCATCCAAGTCCTGTTAAAAACAAAACAAAAAAAGAACACTGTAAGCATTCAATAAAATCAATGATCAAAATACTCCAATAATTACCTTCGGCTCCTTGAACTCCAAGTCTTCTCCGTACTGAATAGAAAAGTCTATGTGTTGCAGCACAATGTTAATTCCCTCCTCATCTGTTCGGTCAAAGGGCAAGAACCTCACCATGGAATAGTCGTCTATCTGGACACAAGTCGTTTGTTAATTAGCCACACAAATGACAAGCATTATTTAAAATATTTTCAGTAATTGGATATATGTACTTACAATCCCACAGATGGCCTGAGTGAGCTTCTTAAACCGTTTACTTTTGATAGAGTCTGAACTGTCCTCCATCATTGAATACATATCTGGATCAAGATATCTATCCATAACAAACAGAAAGTGAGCAGAAGCATAGACGAAAAAACCTTTAAACATTATGCACAACTTACTTTTCTATTTCTTTTTTTGCTTTGGGACTCAGCAGGTCCATTTTAGTCATGATGTTTACCTGGGGGATCTCAAGTGAAATCATCGCACTGAGAGCCGCCATGACACCCGAAATAAACTGTGAACATAGCGTGCCAATAATTCAGTTAACGATAGCAAATCAGATAAATGGTTCATGAAGCGTAATTTGGAACACCACCATGTTGAGACCAAACCATTTATTGTAAGTACTTGGTGTGGTTTTGCAATTCTTTGACTAAATTAAAGTGGTTCTCACCCCCGCTCCTCGGAGCTTACGTTACTCACATTTCCTGTTCAAATCTTCCTCTAAATGGGCGTAGCCTGGAGGACTATAGGTGGCGTGAACAAGACTGGGCCGTTTACATTGCTCTGGGCGGGGGGCTGCTGACGTCAGGTCCAACTTGCAGACGTCAGGTCCAACTTCTGTGCCAGTGTTGGCGCCAGATTCAAAATTCAAATGTAGTAACACAGGTTGCCAGCAGATGGCGCCTCACAGACGGTTTTAGGCAGAAAGTTTAACTTTCAACTAATTTGCACCAAAGTGACAAAATTATGACCAGGATATGTAGACAACACTATTGGACACTCATTTATACCGTTTATCAGCAAAAAAAAGTGGATTTGAGGGTGAGTTGTCCTTTAAGCCTTGAACCATGTGTCGAATACGGGGCTTCATATTGCCACCACTATATTGTGTCTGTGGTTTTGCGCCAATACCTTGAATGACTCCACCATGAACTGAGAGTCCACAAGAAACACGCCACACACTCTGAACTCCCACTGCTGCAGCTGATCAACAAGCTGCTTCATTACAGGCAAATGTGTATAGAGTTCGATCTGACCTGCAAAAAACAAATGTGTTCATAATTCAAATAAATAAAGCTATTATGATATGGAATTGGTTGTTTTGTGTCCTTTATGGCCTTTACCTGGACAGTCAAAGAATATGTAGTCATCGTCTGTATGACCCAGAGCCTCGGCTAACCAGTCAAAGTTGTTTGCAAAATATTCCATACAGAAAACCAGGCCACCGTTAGGACCAAATCTAAGAGAGTCGTCTTCCATTACATCGTCCACTTGAATCAGCTCCCGAATATCTGTACGCACAAATACACAATGCAGGAGAAAAAAAATTATGATTGAGTGAAACTACAACATTTTCCCCAAATTAAAAGTAAAAACAGCTCTAAATTTGAGGGATTTTTTTTCAAGAAGGATTGATTATATGTCATCAAAATAAAAACACGGAATAACTGAAACAAACATTTTTACTTAAAATGCTTGAAAACTATTGATTGCACTTAGTTTAAAACATCATATATTTTAGACCTTGTACCCAATACATCATCTACATTGAAAAGAATGATAAAATATGAGATAATATTTGCTTGAATCAAGTGGTTTTTATCTTAATTTTAGTTCTTTCTGACTATCTTAATACACGATTTGCTAATCAGAAAAGCCATTTAGTCTTATTTCAAGAATTGTTGCTTTATTTCATTTCAAGGGAGACATTTCTGGCATCTTTTATAGTATCAAATATTGTTTAAAGGCAATCAAAAAATGCTCAAATAAAATACATTTTGCAAAATGTTTGAAAATCTTTGCCGTGTATAACTGGCTTCCCACCAACATTTACCTATATTTTCTGAAAAATAAAATACCCTACAGGTAATTAATACCCTTATACCTGCCATCACTGGATAATCAAAGTGCTCTGCCGCTGGGTCCAGGTTGACCACCTGCACTGAGCGGTTTAGGGATTCTGAATGTTGGACCATAGTGGAACAGTAAGTGCTCTGAAAGAAAAATGGATTTATAAAGACAAACACACTTTTTGAATTATCATTATGAATTCAAACAAACATTGACACATGACACCAGGAAGTACGACCACATTAGTCCAGTCCTCAGGTCTCTGCACTGGCTTCCTGTGGCTCAGAGAATAGACTTTAAAACAGCTCTGCTTGTTACAAGTCTCTCCATGGCCTCGCACCAAAATATATTAGTGACATGTTAGTCCCATATGAACCAGCCCGGACTCTGAGGAGCACAGGGACTGGCCTCCTGCTGGGACTCTGAGGAGCACAGGGACTGGACTCCTGCTGGGACTCTGAGGAGCACAGGGACTGGCCTCCTGCTGGGACTCTGAGGAGCACAGGGACTGGACTCCTGCTGGGACTCTGAGGAGCACAGGGACTGGACTCCTGCTGGGACTCTGAGGAGCACAGGGACTGGCCTCCTGCTGGGACTCTGAGGAGCACAGGGACTGGACTCCTGCTGGGACTCTGAGGAGCACAGGGACTGGCCTCCTGCTGGGACTCTGAGGAGCACATGGACTGGACTCCTGCTGGGACTCTGAGGAGCACAGGGACTGGACTCCTGCTGGGACTCTGAGGAGCACAGGGACTGGACTCCTGCTGGGACTCTGAGGAGCACAGGGACTGGACTCCTGCTGGGACTCTGAGGAGCACAGGGACTGGACTCCTGTTAGTGCCCAGAGTCAGAACTAAACATGGGGAGGCTGCTTTTTTAGATTCATGCTGCTAACATCTGGAACAGTCTTCCTGAAGATGTGAGACAGGCCTCCTCTCTGACTATGTTTAAAACCAGGTTAAAGACAGTTCTGTTCAGCTGTGCTACAACTGAGGGATTTTATATTGTTATCTTTCTTTTTAATGTTCTGTGATTATTTATGATTTTAATGCTTTCTTGTTTTGTTCAGCACTTTGAATTGCCTTGTGTATGAATTGTGCTATATAAATAAACTTGCCTTGCCTTGCCTCTAACAAACTGTCATCTACTAATAAGAGATGACAACTTTAGAGCATAGGTACCTAACTTTCAAAACACCACGAAATATACCAAGCAATTAAATCCATGTAATTAGTTCCTCGAAAAACAGTTTGACTCACTACTTTTCACATGCCTGTATGGCCTCTGTCACAACAGGACAACAACCTTTTTTCTTCTTTGCTCTCCTATCCTCTATTTTTTTCTCCTTATCTTGTTTTTGTTTTTTGTTTTGTTTTTCTCTTTTACAATTTTAATTTTTGCACTGATCCAGTCCATTATTTTAATGTCTACTGGTAATTTTTCATGTGCAAATACGGTTAATTGTTGATTACTGTACCTGTTTCAATGATTGTTATCACTGTCAACATTGGTTTAATAAAAGTAAAAAAATAATAATAAAAAAGGGGGGACCACCATCACTGAGACAGCATACAGTGGTCTGATTACTTTACAAGACTCTTTCTGTGGAGATGAAAGTTCAATACAGCAACTTTAATGTGTAGGTATATATTGAAACGTCACAACATTGTACATAAGAATAACGTGCTGTAATGCCATATATCTCAGTTTATTACGCGCTAATACGTTGCTTTATAAATGAACTGATGCCTCACCTTTCCGCTTCCAGCAGGACCAATAACGAGCTGTGCGTAACGAGGCATTTTCCTTGTAAAATAATATCCCAAACGGCTGTAAAATGTGTATTATTTGCTGTAGAGAGACAGGAGCTAACTGCTAACAGCATGTTGTCATCGTGGTGTGTTCTTTTCTTGAGGAACTCGTCATGATCTCGTCTCACACGACAGAGCGCTCTCTGGTGGCGGAAGAAGGTAATACATGTAGGATATATCTAAAATGAAAACAAACAATTTTGTGACTTAGTTGTGACTAATGTCTTTGTAGCTAACATTTACTATAAATCACAAATTAATTGTTTAGTAGTGAAAGATTTGGAGGACACGCGAGCAAAACAGGGTTGTAGTAGAAGCTTACAACCAGTGAGTGGCGCTCAAGAGCAAGTATCCAGCGGTGATCGAAGAAGAACAACAGGAAAAGGGAAGATAAATATTTTACAGTGACAACACGAATTTGCGTCGAGTTAATTCATGGTCTAGGGTGAAACATGCATGTGAGCTCTACCCGGATTATCTAAATCCGTGCGTAATATCAACTCGGATCTTTCTTGAGGTGAGGCCATTACTGTGGTTTTAAACACAATGATTACTCTCGACTGTCCGATTTACCCAAAGCCTTTAGTTTGTTTGTGTGCCAAGGCGTTTCCTTTATGTTAAGTGACATAAATAAAACAAGAGTTGGCAATAAAACTTGACAATAATTGTTTTTAGTTTTATTGTTTACGTATGGTTTTTTGTTGTTTTGTATCTATGAACCCATTTTTTATGTGTTCTTAATAAAGAATGAATTGAATACACGTTTATAAAATTGGTCATGATAAATAATGAATGGGTGGCTGAGTGGATAGCACTCTCGCCTCTCAGCAAGAAGGTCCTGGGTTCGAATCCCGGTTGGACCAGGGCCTTTCTGAGTGGAGTTTGCATGTTCTCCCCGTGTCTGCGTAGGTTTCCTCCGGGTGCTCCGGTTTCCCCTACCACTAAAAATATGTACAATAGGTCTGGCATGCGCCTCCTGTACTGGCACCCCCACACTCCCAAAAATCACAATTGTAAACCGCTTTGAGACTCCGATGAAAAGGCGGTATATAAATAAAGATTACTTACATACAGGGAACGCCCGGTCATGTCCTAAAGCTACTGTTGAACAACATTATTATAACCTTATTATAATGAATTGACATCACATTAAAAATATTGCAATTTTCTAATTGGGACTGTAACATTAATAAACTGATTCTATAAGATAAGAAACTTTATTGACCCCAAAGGAAAGTGCATTTTGGAAGTAATAGGAAAGTTTGGTTCAAATCATCAACAATTATAATATATCAACCATAGATAACAAAAACAGAAATATTTCTGTTTCTCAAATGTATTGATTGATACATTTGTAACAACTCATTGTTCTCTATAAGCATCCCTTGAGCTTTCCCATAGTATAATGCATACAAAACCCTATCTACACTGACCTTTTGGCATAGAAAAAAAACAAATCAATTAACAGAAAGAATAATCTGACTGTGCCAACTAATCAATTTATCCAAATAATCATTCATCACAACCTTATTTGTATTTAATGTGCTGTTGCCTCAGTGGTTTGTGAAACTATTCAGAATCAAATATTTGTGGTAAATATTCATAAATACATTGGTTTTAATGATGATGAATGCAAGAATTGTAGTTGTTTCCTCTATTGTTTTACCACTTTCCTTGTTCGTTAAATTCTTTAGGATATGAGTGTGTGTGATGGAGGACTGTGGAGACGTGGACTATCTAATCCAAGATGAGGACACTCTGATTGAAGGTGTCAGTAATCAAGTTGTATTTGTTGTGGTAGTGAGCATCACCTTTTTGGCTGGCCTTCTGACTCTGCTCTGGAGGTAAGTCTCATGTGCATGTTTTGGTTATACTTATGTCTAAGACAAGTCATAACTTACATATCAATAATGTTGTTTTTTTTTTTTCACAGACAGGAACAGCAGCATGTTATTCATCCAGAAAATCAGGAACATGTTCGAGCGGTTCGACAACAGCTCCAGACAGAACAGGTTCATGTTCCAAGAATTGCCTAGTCTTATAGTATTATCCATCCATCCATCCATTGTCTTCCCCTTTGTCCATTTCTGGGTGAGGGGGTGGCAATCAGCTGCCACCCAATTCACTTATTATTATGGCTTCATTAGGGCATTAACGCTGGAGGTCTTTTAAACCATTTAACCATTTGAAACATTTACCTATGTCATACAATCACCTGTGCTTCACTCTTAAAACAATTTTGTTCTATCACTCGTTTTCACAAACATGTGTTTTTTGGCCTCTGTCACATCACAGATTATATGCAGATTACAAAACAGATGACATTTTTAGCCCCATCTGGACATATGTTGAAAGACTATACAACATGTCGACTTCTGTTGTGCTGCAAATAGCATGTAGAAGTAGTAGTAGTAATCTTTATTTATATACCGCCTATTCACTGCACATCGGAGTCTCAAAGCGGTTTACAATTGTGATTTTTGGGAGCGGGGTCGCCAGTACAGGAGGCACATGCCAGACCTATTGTACATATTTTTAGTGGTAGGGGAAACCGGAGCACCCGGAGGAAACCTACGCAGACACGGGGAGAACATGCAAACTCCACTCAGAAAGGCCCTGGTCCAACCGGGATTTGAACCCAGGACCTTCTTGCTGAGAGGCGAGAGTGCTATCCACTCAGCCACCGTGCCGCCCGACCGAAAGTACCATTACCCCACTTTTTTACCAATACATGGAAATACTGTACACGTCATTACGAGTTCCTCACTAGTTTTCACTTTAGATAATCCCTTTCAGACAGAAAAGTGAAAACTTCGAAGACTACCCTTACTCAGCCAATCAGCTCTTAGCCTAAAGTGATTGACAGAGCTCTATACAAAAGACAAGATGTTTGGTATAAGGTTGAAGACAGTGTGTTGTGGTCTGAACTGTGTACAATACTCTTTCTATTTGGACAAACAGAATGTTGGAACATTTATTTAGTTACCCCGGCTTTTATTTTATTTTTTTCTTGCATAGGATGAAAACTCTCAGTCAGAGGCGAGGCAGCAGTATTACACAGACATGTCTTGTCCTGTCTGTTTACAACAGGCTGTGCTGCCTGTAGAAACTAACTGTGGACACCTGTTTTGTGGTAAGATTGTGTTACATAAATAACATGACAATAATTTATATATATGAAAAAAAAAATGTCTTTGTTTATGGTAGGTTCTTGCATTATTGCTTATTGGAGATATGGGACATGGTTAGGTGCCATTCACTGTCCAATCTGCAGACAAATTGTAAGAGTTTTTTTTGTAATATTACAAAATTGGAATTATGGTGGAATTGACCATGTCTCTTTTTAAGGTCACATTGCTCTTCCCATTATTTCATGAACATGCAACTCCTCAAAGGGTTCAAGATGGAGAGGCCGAACCCCAACTTATACTGCGAGACATCAATGACTATAACCGCAGGTTTTCAGGCCAGCCAAGATCTGTAAGTATCAATCAATTGTGAGTACATTTACAAGAATACGCCATGCAATGTTATTTTTAATTGTTTTGGAGCTTTGTGCCACTTTCAAAGCATCCAACAACTTTGTGTCAGACATTGGGACAGTGATTGTAAATAAAAATCAGATAATGTAAAAGCCACAATTTTGACAAATTACATTCTTTGAGTACATTCTGCAGCGTAGTTAAATGCATCAGGCACAACAATACCAAAATAAATTATGGGGACTGATCAAAATGAGTAGCCTGTTCTACAAGGTTTTGCCATACACTCCTCAACCACACAGGTGTGCATGTTGATCCATTTAATTAAACTGAACAAAGCGAGGCATCTGGTTTACTAGTGCTGTTTTGCCATAAGATGAGACTAAAGCTACTCATTGTCAATTATTTTGTAACTCTAATTGTTTATATGTTTGTCCTTTTTGCCTTGTAGCTTATGGAGAGGTTGCGAGATGTGCCAACTCTGCTTCGTCACGCTTTCCGCGAGATGTTTTCTGTCGGTGGTTTGTTCTGGATGTTCAGAATACGCATCCTTCTGTGTCTGATTGGTGCCATTACTTACTTGGCTTCACCTCTCGACATCCTTCCAGAGGCACTGTTCGGCCTCTTGGGATTCATGGATGATTTTTTTGTCATCCTATTGTTATTTGTTTACATCTCTATTATGTATAGAGAAGTTGTCACGCAAAGATTAAACAACTAGCAAAGTATACATGGAATCAGGGGAGGAGCTTTTCAATCATATTTACTAAACTGAAGTTTATTTTGTGACGCGTGAAATTGAATGTTTAAGATGAGCCAAAAGTGATCTGTATCTCAAATGCATACACAACAATATGAATGAAGCTTTAACTAGTGTTGGAGAGAATACTTTGAACTGAACCCCTTTTTCATTTCTTAGAAAAAATGGCAAACATAGGATACAATGTCATCTCTCTTTAAAATAAAATAATAAAAACAAGATTTTTTACATCTCTCAACCATACTTATATTTATAAATGTATTGTTAAAAATGCACTCTGTATGTATGCAACATAATTGATGCACATGTAAAAAGGTTTTTTTTCTCAATATCAACATTTTCCCTACCAATTGTCTTTATTTGTATTTACAATATAATAAATTAAAGAGCTGTTGGAAGTTTTGCAATTTGATTTTGGTTTGACTTGTCTATTTCTATATGACTGTGTATATTTGTTGCTACCAGTGTTGGAGTAATGGACCTCATGCACTGGCAATACATTTCCAGAATACTATTTTTAGTGACGGTATAAGAATATTACTTTTTAAAATTTGATGAAATACAGCGCAGTATTTGATCACTCAATCACAACAACATAATGAAAATCTGGGGTCCCTAAGTTTTATTTATCTTACATGTTGTTAGTCATGACTATCAGACTTGAACCAGACAAGATCATGTTGTCTTCAGCTTATTGTTTTCTTACTCTTTGGGCTGAGAAAAGGTGGTCCTCTCTTTTTTTATAACTTGTCTGTCTTAAAAAGCAAGGGAAGTGCCTGAAAACATGCGTGTGACTCGAGATAGAACTGATTTGACAGCCATAGGAACTAATTCTATGGATTTGAGATAACATCGTTGGTGTTTTGGATACCTCCGCTTTAAAAAACATAAAAAAAATAAAAACTAGTGGATGCACCAAAAGACAGTATATGGCTGAAGGTTTGTCTGATGGATTAGCAGCTTTGTTGACACATAATATTAGGTTGACGTTCGAAAGGTTAAGGCGAGTCCAGTGTTGCCAACTTAGCGACTTTTCAGACCCTATAGCGACTTTTTTTCAAAAAAGCGACTAGCGACAGATCTAGACAAAGCATTAAAATCATTAAATGTTGTTAATGTTGAAATTACTTTTGTACATTTGTAGTTCTAAACATATTTAGGGTGTTTTTTACTCACTTTTGTCTCTCCCACGACGTTATTCCTCTCTCCTACAGCGTCCGTTAAGTCGCGCGTACTACGCGCTCACTTGAAGCTTTTGACGCGCGAAACGCTCGCGTATCACAACAATCCCTTTGACGCCGAAGCTGAGCAAAGCTGAGCTTTTGAAGCTTTGACGCGGGCTTCAACCAATCAGGAGACGAGGAGCAGCAGCAGCAGAGGGTCTGTCTCTGTCATGAAGAGAAGTCAAGTATCTGCTGCTGCTGTTTTATTGTCATTATTGTTATTAGTAATATTATTTGTATGAGTAGTAACATTCTGAGTAACAAAAATCATTGTATACATGCTGTGTAGTAAACGTAGTTTATTTAATATAAGAACAGGCTGACGATGAGTCTGGCTCAGAGCAAGGCAGCTCCGGGCGGGCAAGAGCTGGGGAGAGGCAGGGAGAGGCAGGGAGAGGCGAGCGAGAGCCGGGGAGAGGCAGGGAGAGGCGAGCGAGAGCCGGGGAGAGGCAGGGAGAGGCGAGAGCGAGGCGGGGAGAGGCAGGGAGAGGCAGGGAGAGGCGAGCGAGAGCCGGGGAGAGGCAGGGAGAGGCAGGGAGAGGCAGGGAGAGCCGGGGAGAGGCAGGGAGAGGCGAGCGAGAGCCGGGGAGAGGCAGGGAGAGGCGAGCGAGAGCCGGGGAGAGGCAGGGAGAGGCGAGCGAGAGCCGGGGAGAGGCGAGCGAGAGCCGGGGAGAGGCAGGGAGAGGCGAGCGAGAGCCGGGGAGAGGCAGGGAGAGGCGAGCGAGAGCCGGGGAGAGGCAGGGAGAGGCAGGGAGAGGCGAGCGAGAGCCGGGGAGAGGCAGGGAGAGGCGAGAGCGAGGCGGGGAGAGGCAGGGAGAGGCAGGGAGAGGCGAGCGAGAGCCGGGGAGAGGCAGGGAGAGGCAGGGAGAGCCGGGGAGAGGCGAGCTCCGGGGTTTGAGAACTCAGACTGGGCGAGTGACATGCGGAAGTACCGCTGAAAGCGAAACTCCTCCGTACGCAGCTCCTGGAGTAAATGACGGAACTCTGCAAACACTGCAGCCTCTCAAGTCTGTGGTGAACATGAAACAGAACATGTTTTGTTGAAGCCCTACAACAATGTTATTTTGCTTTATATAACAAATAAAGGCTCGCTGCTCATTGAAAAATCCACCGCTGTCCTGACTACAGGCAACAGAGAAGCTCCTCCCACAGACAACAGAGAAGCTCCTCCCACCGGCGTCAGGCGCGTCACTCGCGTCAAAAGCTTCAAGCACCAAAATGACAAAACTATCCCGGCGTCAGTTGAAGCGCGTCAAAAGCTTTTTGAAGCTTTTGGTCTGAACGCGCCTTACAGTTATTTGCAAATTGCCAATTATGCAAATTAGGCGATGACGTCATTTAGCGACTTCTAGCGACTTTTGGGACAGCCAATAGCTACTTTCCTTACTGAGGAGTTGGCAACACTGAAGGCGACAGTAGTTCAGTTGGTAGAGCATTGGCCTTAGAGCCAGAGGGTCGTGGGTTTGAGCCTGACCTTCACCATCGTCTCCCACTGTCTGTTGTCGTTGTGTCCTTGGCAAGACACTTAACCTTTGGGAACACCAGGTGCCACAGTGGGGCGGCTGCGGCTGTAAAGTGCCAAACTGCCGTTGTGTCCTTAGGCAAGACACTTTATCCCCATTGCCTAGAATGAGTCTGGTGTGTGTGTGAATGGTTGGTGGTGGTCGGAGGGGCCGATGGCACAGACTGGTTGCCTCGCTTCTGTCAGTGTGCCCCAGGGCAGCTGTGGCTACAGTAGTAGTTTATCACCACCGTGTTTGAAGTGAAAGAATAATCAGAATCAGAATCATTTTTATTGCCACGTAAGTAATGACATGTAAAGCGTCTTTGAGTGTCCAAAATAGCGCTATATAAAACCGATGCATTATTATTATCCATCCATCCATCTTCTTCCCCTTAATCCATTTCTGGGTCGGGGGGGTGGCCAGAGATACCACCCAGTACACAGAGCACCAGCCCCTCACTGATCCTCCTGCAGGTGGTGAGTCCACAGGAGCTGAGATCTTTCAGTGGGAGCTTCAGGCAAAGTGGGGTTAAGTGTCTTGCCCAAGGACACAATGACAGCAGTCATCAGTGGGAGTCGTGAAGTAGGTGTTGAGGTGGGCTTGAACCCACGACCTTCAGGCTCAAAGGCCAATGCTCTACCAACTGAGCTACTTATTATTATTATTATTATTATTATTATTATTATTATTATTATTATTATTATTGTTATTATTATTATTATTATTGTTATTATTATTGTTATTATTATTGTTATTATTATTGTTATTATTATTATTATTGTTATTATTATTGTTATTATTATTATTATTGTTATTATTGTTATTATTGTTATTATTATTATTATTATTATTATTATTATTATTATTATTATTGTTATTATTATTATTATTATTGTTATTATTATTGTTATTATTATTGTTATTATTATTGTTATTATTATTATTATTGTTATTATTATTGTTATTATTATTATTATTGTTATTATTGTTATTATTGTTATTATTATTATTATTATTATTATTATTATCTGTGGGAATCCATCCTGCCAAGCTCCGCCCAGTCCACAGGCAGCCGACCGGAGGACCAGCCCCAGAGGCCGGGCCAAGCAGCTGAGTCTGTGCAGCATCTAGTGGAGACCCGGGGGCGTACGGACTTGACTGGAAGAGCCCTGACAACGCACCAAGTCTGTCAGCGAGAACTAACAATGAGCACGTCTGAGTGTTTGGACCGTATAGAGCTCTGTGGGAGCCTCCTAACATGGGTAAGTGATCGATCCATCTCAGCGAAGGTTGATTTCCCCCAGTTTGAGGAACCCCGGTCTGCTAGCTCAGGCTAATGCTAAGCTAACGCCACCCCAAGCCTTTCTAACCAGGGCTGTTAGCTCGTATGCTAACAGCTAACCGTTAGTACACAGGCCAGCTGTTTGCTATCTGCCTGTCGGAGGAAGTGGTCAAATAACAATAACAATAACAAGACACTTGTCAAACTGTGTATTATCCTGCATTCTGTTGTTAGCTAACCAATAAGAAATAAGTCAATGCTAACTGTTAAGTGAGCATATAGGTGGTGTGTTAGCTTCAAACGTTTGGATAGCCTGAGGAAAATCAAGTTTAACGGTCACATGTTGAAAATATATACTTAATCCTTCAATAAGATCTTTCCTAAATGATCTATGACAGATGTTTAGACGTGACTGATAAACACCTCCCTGTGCAGCTCTGGTACAATGTGGATATGAATAGGACTGTCCACGGTGGCATTTGTTGTTCTCACCGCTGAAGCACGAAATACAGCTGTGTCTTTAGTTTGTTAAGTAAAATTAACAAGTACAAACTGTCCCTATCGTCAAATGAGTAGCTTTAGCCCGCTTCAGCTTCTCTGTTATTACTGGCCTCATGTAAAACTGCTGCAGCCTCTCCTTTATGTTACTGTACTGACCTGTGCAGACATTCCCCACATGCCTGTCACCTGTGCAGACATTCTCCACATGCCTGTCACCTGTGCAGACATTCTCCACATGCCTGTCACCTGTGCAGACATTCTCCACATGCCTGTCACCTGTGCAGACATTCTCCACATGCCTGTCACCTGTGCAGACATTCTCCACATGCCTGTCACCTGTGCAGACATTCTCCACATGCCTGTCACCTGTGCAGACATTCTCCACATGCCTGTCACCTGTGCAGACATTCTCCACATGCCTGTCACCTGTGCAGACATTCTCCACATGCCTGTCACCTGTGCAGACATTCTCCACATGCCTGTCACCTGTGCAGACATTCTCCACATGCCTGTCACCTGTGCAGACATTCTCCACATGCCTGTCACCTGTGCAGACATTCCCCACATGCCTGTCACCTGTGCAGACATTCTCCACATGCCTGTCACCTGTGCAGACATTCTCCACATGCCTGTCACCTGTGCAGACATTCTCCACATGCCTGTCACCTGTGCAGACATTCTCCACATGCCTGTCACCTGTGCAGACATTCCCCACATGCCTGTCACCTGTGCAGACATTCCCCACATGCCTGTCACCTGTGCAGACATTCTCCACATGCCTGTCACCTGTGCAGACATTCTCCACATGCCTGTCACCTGTGCAGACATTCCCCACATGCCTGTCACCTGTGCAGACATTCTCCACATGCCTGTCACCTGTGCAGACATTCCCCACATGCCTGTCACCTGTGCAGACATTCTCCACATGCCTGTCACCTGTGCAGACATTCCCCACATGCCTGTCACCTGTGCAGACATTCTCCACATGCCTGTCACCTGTGCAGACATTCTCCACATGCCTGTCACCTGTGCAGACATTCTCCACATGCCTGTCACCTGTGCAGACATTCTCCACATGCCTGTCACCTGTGCAGACATTCCCCACATGCCTGTCACCTGTGCAGACATTCTCCACATGCCTGTCACCTGTGCAGACATTCTCCACATGCCTGTCACCTGTGCAGACATTCTCCACATGCCTGTCACCTGTGCAGACATTCCCCACATGCCTGTCACCTGTGCAGACATTCCCCACATGCCTGTCACCTGTGCAGACATTCTCCACATGCCTGTCACCTGTGCAGACATTCTCCACATGCCTGTCACCTGTGCAGACATTCTCCACATGCCTGTCACCTGTGCAGACACTCCTGACCCTTTGACTAGTGGTTAAAAAAACAAACAAAAAACAGAAGACTGGTCTCATGATTTATAGATTTCAGTGATAGTCTGTTATTACTTCCACCAGGATTATGTTTACATTGTGTTTGAGGGCGACAGTAGCTCAGTTGGTAGAGCATTGGCCTTTGGGCCTGAAGGTCGTGGGTTCGAGCCCACCGTAAGACCTACTTCACAACTCCCACTGATGACTGCTGTCGTTGTGTCCTTGGGCAAGACACTTAACCCTACTTTGCCTGAAGCTCCCACTGAAAGATCTCAGCTCCTGTGGACTCACCACCTGCAGGAGGATCAGTGAGGGGCTGGTGCTATGTGTACTGGGTGCAACTCTGACTGCCACCCCCCCGACCCAGAAATGGATTAAGGGGAAGAAAATGGATGGATGGATGGATGTGTTTGTGTATTTGTCAGTTAGCAAGATACCTGAAAAAGTTATGGGCAGAGATGATATTGATCCTCATCTAAAGCTAGTTCTGGGATCCATTAGTTAACGCTAGTGATTTTCAATCAATCAATCAATCTTTATTTATAGGGCGCTTTTCCTGCACAGGGCAACACAAAGCGCCTCACAGTCCACACCACACAATGCACAAATCATCACCATTAAAATACAATTAAAAACACATATGTAATTAAAAAGCATTAAAATCACATAAGTAATTTAAAAACATAAAAATCACACAAGTAATTAAAAACAATAAAATAGTTAAAAACACAAAAAGTTACAACAATAAATAACAAGGTGTGTTAAAAAGATAAAATTCTCTAGTTGTATGCACGGGAAAAAAGAAAAGTCTTTAACATGGATTTGAACATTGACAGAGAGGCAGCCAGTCTCACATCCTCAGGAAGACTGTTCCAGACTCCAGCTGCATAAATCTGAAAAGCAGCCTCCCCCTGTCTAGTCCTGACTCTGGGCACTAACAGGAGTCCCGTCCCTGCGCTCCTCAGAGTCCGGGCTGGTTCATATGGGACTAGCATATCATGGATGTACTTTGGTGCAAGGCCATGGAGAGACTTGTACACCAGGAGAGCTGCTTTAAAGTCTATTCTCTGGGCCACGGGAAGCCAGTGCAGAGACCTGAGGACCGGACTAATGTGGTCGTACTTCCTGGTTCTAGTCAGGACTCGGGCTGCAGCATTTTGAATATACTGCAACTGTCTTACTGCATGTTTGGAGATACCTGTGAGCAGGCCATTGCAGTAATCCAGCCTACTGGAAACAAAAGAATGGATAAGAATCTCCAAGTCTGCCCTGGACACAATATTTTTAAATATTTTCTAGTTGTATCTAATCCAGAGGGTCTCAACTGGAACAGTGTTAAAATGCTGTACTATTTTCACAATTATGTTTCCAATTGCATTAAAGTTAATTGATGAACAAAATAACTGACTGGAAGAAAATATAAATTGACAAATAATTATTTGTGTCTTTGAGTTAAATAACTAAGAAATCTGACCATGAATTAATAAGTTTCACATTTTATTTCAAACAAGTTTTTAGGTAAAACTGCTGCAGAAAAGAGCACTCAAACTAATAAATCCGAGCCAAACAAAAATAAAATAAAAACAATTCTGTTTTAAAGTGACAATAGATTGTTGGCATAGTCATGATTAATGATTACACTGAAGAGAATGTGGAGTTGCTTCTGTTTACCTTGTGCAAACTTACACTAGTGACTGGATAGATATGGCACTGACGGCACAGTCAGCTGTTGTGATGCAAGTTCGAGCTGGTGGATCATATTAATCACTGCTCTCAGCTAAATGCTCAGAGATTTGGCCCCTAATGTAAGACTGACATGTGCTTGAGTCGTTATATGTCTTTAACAAACAATAGGCTTCTGAGTTTATTGGCAGCTAAAGTCGAGATTAAGCAGCAGCAGAATAATTCATGTAACCCTCATTGTTGTTATGTAAATTACATAACCAAGAAACCATCTCACAAAGATTAACAGTATTAGTACAATATTATTACCTTTTTTGCCTGCCCAAAGTGCAATCATACCTCTAACCATTACCTCGTGTGGTCTTATATTAATTTATTCTTACTTTTTTGATTATTAAAAACCATAATATAATCAAATTAATCTGCTGGATAAGATCACTTGCAAGTGCAATTGTGCTCCAGTTCTCAGGTCTCTGCGCTGGCTTCTTTTGGCTTTAAAGCAGCTCTGCTTGTATAAGTCTCTCCATGGCCTGGCACCAAAATTCATCTGTGACATGTTAATGCCATGAGAACCAACGCAGACTGAGGAGCACAGGTCAAAACATGGGGAGACAGCGTTTCAGATCAAAATATGGGACTGTCTTGCTGAAAATATTCTGTTTAACTGAGCATGCAACTGAAGGATTATATCTTCACTCTTTTTTAATATATTGTGATTATTTATGATTTCATATTCTTTGTTGGATTTTAATGTTTCTTTCCTTCTTTTGAGTTCTCAGTGATCCTGTTTTTCATCAACTTTTTGTTGTTGATGTTAGTTTCTTCAGCTTTTGCTTCATCCAATCAGTCAAGAGTTGAACTGAAGTGCTTCACATATCAACCAGACTTCTACCAATAATATAAACAATTATAAATAAAATTATGACGTTTTGGTCAAAAAATATATTGGACACAATTCACACACATTGACTTTACGTTTTGTCTTTACTGTGAAGCTATTATTACCCGAAACACATCTTGTCTCATGTGTACGTAATGGTGTTGTTTCTGTTTGAGGCTGTGAAAAGTGTATATATCATGTTGCCCTGAGCATAGAGAATTACATGATTCAAATTCCTGCCAAAAGTCAGACATTCCTGATTTAAATGTCCCTTTCTATATTACTGCTTTCTTATGTAATGCAGTAAACTATGAGTCAGGTACTGTATGCCTTCAGACCACAAAGCTACTTGTACCCTGACGTGAGGCTTCTCAAGCTTGTCCATGTTTGAGCCCTTGCCCTGATGTCGACATTTAACTAGTCTCTGCCTTTTGACACCAAATCTCAAAGTGCTACAGACAGCAGCATAAATAAAAGCAAACACATAAAATCAGATAAAAGACTATAAAAAAAAATTAGCAGTACGCTTTAGTAAAAAGATGGGTTTTGAGTCCCTTTTTAAAGCTTCAATCGTCTGTGGGGCCCTGAGGCGTTCCACAGACGGGGGGCAGCGGCCTCGAAGGCCCGGTCCCCCATTTTCTTGAGCCGTGTCCTGGGCGGGAGCAGACGGTGCTGTTGGCCTGACCGGGTTCTGCCTGAGGAGTGTGGAGTGAGGAGGTCAGTGAGGTAGGTGGGGGCATCACCGTGGAGACAGTGGTGGGTTTGCAGGAGGATCTTATATTCTATACAGAGGTGAACGGGGAGCCAGTGGAGGGTGTGAAGGATGGGGGTGATGTGCTCATGCTTCCGCACCCTCATCAGGACCCTTTAAGACATTTAATTCAGGGTTTCCCAGTTTATTATTATTATTAGTTTATTTGATATGGACATATCAACTGCATTGGACAAACCAGATACATTGTTTCCAGTGTTATAGCAAAACTGCTAATTTGCAACACCTGTCCATAGGAGGCTACACATCACATTTCAAAAAACACAATACAATACAGTACAATATTTAAAAAGGTAAACAATACACAATTACACATCATCAGTATACATTTCATACAGTGTTACCATGTGAGCAGTTTTGACTTGACTTCAGCCATTGTTTCAGACCTCTGTAAAAACTGTTCATGTCAGTCTGCAGTTTTAAATCAGTGGGCAGAGAGTTCCACAGTCTGGATCCATTAAAAGAGAAACTGGACTGTCCAAAAGATTTTGTAAATTTTGGGAGAACACACAGTCCCCACTCACCGAGGCTCTGGTGGAGGGTCTGCGGGAGTCCTGACGCCGAATAATGAGAGCGGAAAACAGCGGCGACACACGACTGTTCAAACATTTAAAAACCAATTTCAGAATACTAAAATGTATAAAGTTTTCGAAAGTAAAAAGATTATGTCTATGGATGATGTCACAGTGATGCCATCTCATAGGTTTTCTGTCAAATACCTTGACTGCCTGTTTGTACAATGAAACAACCGGCTTGAGTGTGGACGGGGAGGTTTGTGACCAGGATGTGACGCAGTAGGACAGATGTGAAAAAATCATGGCATGCATGTATAACAGGGCGGCCTGATAGGACAGATCCCTCCTGATAAAACGAAAACAATTCAAGTTGGATTTGACCTTTTTACACACATTTTTGACTTGACTTTGAAATTTAAGATTGTTGTCAAGGATAATTCCAAGATATGTGGTCTCTTTTACTTCTTGTATAATTTCATTGTTTATGCGTACTTCAAAGGTGCTGTTAGAAGGTCTTGTTTTAATTGAGAAACAGACAGCGACGGTTTTCTTAACGTTTAAGCTTAGGTGAGACAACTTGAGCCATTTAGAGATGTTTACTAGGGCAAGTGTCAACTGCTGCGCTGCCAGAGCTGGAGTTTTAGCAGACAGATGAATTACTGTATCATCTGCGTACAGCTGGCAGTTGACACCTTGGCAGCTATCAGGGAGGTCATTGATGTACATTGTGAACAACAATGGCCCCAGTACTGATCCTTGAGGAACTCCCATATTGTTAGGGAAGAGAGCCGACATCACCCCATTAACCTTAACACACTGCTGTCTTCCCTCCAAATATGATTTTAACCATGCTAAAGAGCTTGGTGACATTTTAAAGAGCTTGAGTTTGTTAGATAGCACGCTGTGATCCACAGTGTCAAAGGCTTTTTTTAGGTCTAGAAATACTGCACCAACTACTTGCCCTTTGTCTAGAGGCCCTTTGATCTTCTCTAGCAAGAAACAATTAGCTGTTTCGGTGCTGTATTTACGCCTAAAACCAAATTGTTGAGGATGCAGCAGCTGGTTTGACTCAAGATGTTCAATGAGTTGTTCTGCAATTACCTTTTCCAGGATTTTAGACACAACAGGCAGAATGGCAATAGGCCTGTAGTTGTTGGGTGTGTCCTTTTCGCCTGACTTGTGGATCGGTGTTATTACAGCGGGCTTCCAACACTGTGGGAATGTATTTGACCTGATTGAGAGATTAACTAGATATGTAATTGGTTGTAGTAGACTGTCCTGATGTTTTTTAATCAAGGTCATACTTAAGTTATGGATGTCTTTTGCCGCGGAGTTGTTCATATTTGTTATTATCTTTTTAACTTCATCAGAAGAGACCTCTTGGATTATAAAAAGGCTTGAATTACCCAAGTTAACATCTTCAGCACATGTCACCTTGTTTTTAAATTTGTTTGCTAATTCATGCACAGAGTCTATAAAAAAATTATTAAAAACATTTGCCATTGACTCATTGTTATTGACAAGAGTGCCATCCACTTTTATGGAATCTATCCTAACGCACCTTTTTTTTGCAGGGTTGGTTAAGTAGTTTATGTGTTGCCACAATTTAGAGCTACAACCGTTAGCCTCTTCTATCTTTTTAGTAAAGTAGTCGGTTTTGGCTTTACGTAGATTGCTTGTGACTTGATTTCTAAGTGTAGTATAGATTTGATAGTCTATGCTGTTTCTAGACTTCATAGACTTTTTACGTGCAGTGTCACGTTTTTTCATAATATGCCAAATATCGCTGTTAAACCATGGGAGGGAATGCTTTTGTGGTTTACTTGTCCATGTTTTAGTAAAGTTTTTTACCATTTTACTCAGAGTAGAGACAAAGATATTAGCACTTTCGTTCACATTGGACTCTTTCATAACATTATCCCAGTTTATTTGGTTCAGTTCTTCTTCAAAGATGTTTAGTTTTGCTTTTGGAATTCCTGTTTTCTGTATTTTTGTTTCTTGGTTATGATAGGTCAATCGTTTATTACCCAATTTCCTGACAATTACGGTCATGTTATGATCGGAGAGCCCAGTAATGAGGTTATAGGTTTTTGTTATTCTTTCTGGCCTATTTGTGAGAATGAGGTCAATCAGCGTTTTACTACTTCTTGTGACTCTGGTAGGTTTGTCTATCAGCTGTTTATATTTAAATTTATCTACTAGGACTTTTAATTTCATTTTGCTACTTTTTTCCAGCCAGTTTATATTGAAGTCGCCCAATATTATGCTTTCAGAGCAATCCATGTTAGAAAGGAAACTCTTGAATTCATTGTAAAAGTGTACATTGTGTGAAGGTGGATTGTAAAGAACACATAAGTTAAATCTCATGGTTGTAGACAAAGTAACTCTGAGTGCAAGGCACTCCAACTTCACATTAATTGCAACATCTTCACACTGAAACTGATCTCTAATGTATATTAACACCCCCCCGCCCCTTCCCTTTTCCCAGTCTCTTCTAAAGCACTTATAGCCTGGTATGTTAATTAGATTTGTTGGAGTACACTGATTTAGCCAGCTTTCAGAAACGCACAAAAAGTCCAAATTCGAGTCAGTTAACAGGTTATGTATTTGGTCTATTTTTGGTAAAATACTTCTAACATTGAGATGTCCACCTAGTATTCCTTTGGGTTTCGTTTGCGGATTCCATATAACTTGCGCATGATTTACAGTCTGGAAAAACTTGAGCTGCCTCTGCTTCGTTGTTGCGCGATTTGAAGTTTTGACCCTTGCAGGACACCGTCTTTGTTTACTTTCTGCATCTGTCATAGCAGCATTGGAAGATGTTTGATTCTCGAGTACATGGTGGTTGGAAGGATTACAACTCACCGCCGTAGCGAGACAAATGGTGTCCGATGTTCTTTGTGGCTCCGTTAGCCGACGGTTCATCATAGAGGTAGTAGCCTCAGCTGTTTCAGCAGACCCGCAGATGGAATCGCTAGGCTTCATCTTGCTGGATCTTGTGACAGCGACAGGCGAAACCCGGACACTCGGTCTAGCGGCCTCTGGTGCGCACGATGAACTCTGGTGAAGCGCTCCACGGTAATCCTGTATGGCGTCCTCGTCCAAGTAGCCAGTTGACGGGGGCATCCCGCGCGGTAGACAGGGCAGTGCGGCGCAGCCGGTAGACTCGCCGCTACTCCCTGATGGATTCGTACCAGTGACCACATCCGTGTCGCTCACTGGTCCCGCCGCGCTCGCCGGAGAGATGGAATAGTCGAGGTGAGTGTTTAGCTCAAACGTGAGGCGTGAGGTAAAAGTGCGTACCTGTAAGTTTCCTGCGATGCTCTTGCGATGGTTTGATGAGATGGTATGGGGGTTATCTGAAATTGGACCAGTTGTCGGACCGGGGCATTGGTGGATGTCCCCGGACAGCAGAAGGCAGAAGGTGATTATTAGCGCGAGGCTCTGTTGCGGTTTTAGTACCGATTTGGTGTGCTTTCTTACTTTGCTGTACAGATGTGGATGAATAAAAGTAGCAGCCAGGACGTATCTCCCAAGTCCAAAATGTTTGGTGGCTTTGATTGTTACAATGTCCACTGATGTAGGTTTAATACTATTGGAACTATAAGTGTCACTCAGAATTTGACCAGTATCTGTATAGAAAAAGGTGTTTGTGAGCAGTGCATACGCAAAGAGCGCAGCAGTTGCTCCTGCCACACCCTGCGCCGCCATCTTACAAAAGTTTAGTCTTTTGTTTAATGTGTTGGCTTGTAATAAAAAATAACTTGTTGTGTATTGTAAAATGAGAGAATAATGTAAATTAAATCATTTTCTTGTTCATATGTTTCAGATTCAAACATTTGGAGTGGAGGCCCCTTGTAAAACGGTAGATGATTTGACAACTGGAGTCGTCATGGCCCAAGCCCTACAGAAAATGTAAGTTCCTCCTCACCTTTACATTACCTTTACATTTGCAATGAATCAGACACACTCAGAAATCATTTTGTTTACAGTATTGAATGAATGAGTGATACCTTTTAATGGTACCACAAAGAGGATTTTCAACATTATCTTGTATAGCAACATACAAACCCTTTCTTCTTATCGGGCTGAGATATGTGCTGATAATAATGGAAATGTACTTTTGTGTGCATGATTGTTATTACTGTGGCAATCTGCTTTTTGGATCAAGTTGTCAATATTTGATTTTACCATTTGCAACTTCAAGCTGCTTTCAGATCATATTTTCCCCCAACCTAATCATATGTTTTTTTAGGTGGAGAGAGCTTCTTTTTAGGTTTAAACAAATGGAAAAAAAGTTGTATTTGGTTCGATACAATGAATTTTCTGTGGTCAATTCTATTTAAAGCAATTTTATTTGTTGCTTGATAGTTTTCAAGTTCAGTATGTTTACTCTACAGTACTTTTTATAAGTTGAATTATTATATATGTATATTTTTTCATCTTGAGTTATAAAGACATATGACCCAGTATGCTGTATCCATTTTGGCACCACCTATAAATCACTGTATTTATTTTTGTATTGATCATTTCCAAATGTAAATGTTTAACTTCATTTAAGGTTTGTTATTATTTTTCCTCCTTTACAGAGATGCACAGTATTTTAATGAGGCTTGGATTTGTAGAATTAAACCAGATGTTGGAGACAACTGGAGGTTAAAGGTTGGTATGAAAAATGATTTCCCATTCTGTCTTTGCTTGATCTGTTTAAAAGTATTGTATTTTATGGTGTATTTCAGATTAGCAACTTGAAGAAAGTGTTGAAAGGCATTTTAGACTTTAATCAGGAGGTAAATCTCAATACTGAATTTGTCGTTTTTTATAATATTTCACGTTCTAGATGTTTCTGTTGTGTTCCCGTTAGATCCTTGGTCAGCACATTAATGACTTCAGGGAACCAGATGTTACACTTATTGGAGAGCATTCAGACCCAGCAGAACTGGGGAGAATGTTACAACTTATCCTGGGCTGTGCTGTCAGCTGCGAACAAAAGCAAGGTAAAGATTAACCACTTCATTTTCGATGAAGTCATTTTTCAGCAGATCGTTTACTGTATGTCTTCTCTTTACCTTTTCTAGAATACATTCAAACCATAATGAGTATGGAGGAGTCCGTGCAACATGTCGTCATGAATGCCATCCAAGAGGTACACTATTTCACAGCTATCTAATTCATGAATAATCAATAATACTGTATATTTATTCTAGCTTATGAGTAAGGAGACTCCAGTCCCGGCAGGAACAGAATCTTTTGAGGATCTGGATCGACAGGTGTGAAAACAAAATTATCATCAGTGAATTATGTTGAACCATATTTTCTTCTTGTTTGTAGTGTTTCTCTTGTAAAAGTACCTTTTTGTACAATAATTCCACTTAATAACGTTTCACCTTTGCTCTCGCAGTACAAAAAGACCGTAGAGGAGCTTAATGAGGCCTTGAGCACTAAAGAAGAAATCTCACAGAGGTGTCGTGAACTTGACATGCAGGTCAGCATCTCATTGTTTTCTATTCTTCTTGGTTTATTAAGTGTATTTTATTAATCTGTTGCAAGTTCTATAATGATAGATTTGTCTTAATTGAAATAAGACATTTTAATTGGAGGGTGTAAACCGTCCTTTCTTTATTGTGCCTTGCTTTCAAGGCCCTCCGTGTCCAAGAGGAGCGTGATAGACTGAGGTTAGACTATAATGAGCTAGACGAGAGGGTAAATCCAATATTATTTTCTTGCTGTGCCCCTTCTTCGTGTCATGTTTGCTGTGCCTAATAATCCTGGATTTTGACCTGTATGGTCTGCTTGCAAAGGCCTCCTCTGGTAATCCAGCCCCTCTGAGTGCTGTGTGTGCATGAGAGTGCACATGTGTCGTTCACATGTGCACTTTGTGGTCTTCAACCACAACTGCTGGCAATGCAGTGTCCGAGTGTGTCACTAATAACACCCCTGCCTTCCACATGTGTTACTCTACCACATTTATCTATGTATATGGCTATTATGTAACTGCAGTGGCAAAAAATGAAAAGTGAATTGTTATTGATGTTACTTCTTAGATTTGTAAGATAAATAATAAGATAATTTACTGAACCAGTTCCTCTAATGTACAGTCCTGTCCAACCCCGACCTGCTGCTTTGCTTTGTGTGGAGTCTGATGCCCTGTTTGTCCCAATGAAAAGAATTTGTTCTGAAGTTGTCTGTAGCCCTACTCATTCTACACTGTTCGTATTTATCAGGCAACCCATCTAAATAATTTAAAATGCTTGTTTTTATTGAACAATCCTAGTTTGTTTTAAGAAAATGCATACCTTCTCCTTCCTTTCTTAATCTTATTTTCCCCTACTCCCTTGCACACGTAGGTGGGAGCTCTACAAGACGAGAAAAGCAGTTTGCTGGCAGAGAACCAGGTCTTGATGGAGAGACTTAACCAGTCGGACTCCATTGAAGATGTGAACAGCCCCGCAGGAAGAAGACACCTCCAGCTGCAGACACAACTGGAGCAACTGCAAGAGGAAACATTCAGGTAAACACAGACGTCATGGGCTTGTGAACATTAATACTTTGTTGGGAAATGATTGTGCTTAACAGTCATATTGAACAAACTCTATGCCATTGTTGCCCATACTATACAGCAGAGTAATCCTGTTTTTTCACATTAAGATGCTGTATTTCAAAAGTCTAAAATGGCTTTATATGTTCCAGGCTTGAAGCTGCTAAAGATGACTATCGGATCCGCTGTGAGGAGCTTGAAAAAGAATTATCAGATGTGAAGACGCAGAATGAGGAGCTTTCATCGCTGGCAGATGAAGCCCAGTCTCTTAAGGATGAGATGGATGTTCTCCGGTGGGTTTCTAAAAGGCTGTAGTGAGATTTAAAAAAAACCATGTATTAAATGTTTATACGTCTCAATGGTAATGTTGTCTGTCTATGCAGGGCTATTTTGAACTTAGTCTCAAAAGGCCACATGGACGCAGGTTTTCATTCCAACCAAGCAGGAGCACGTCACAGTCCAACCATTTCCTCAAGTGTCCAGGTGAAGACTGGACTGGCTTAATGAAATGGGTGTTGAATGGTGTGTGGTCGTGGATTCCTGTTTGGTTGGATTGAAAACCTGCAACTACATCTATGGATTTATTTGAAGCTAATTGTCTTCATCTTTTCATAGACACTCATCTGACAAGGTCTCTAAGCTAGAAGGAACAATAGAACATTATAAAAAGAAATTGGAGGACATGGGACTACTCAGAAGACAAGTACTATACATTTTCATCATGATGTAACTGTTACACAAGTAAAATAACAAACAGGAGTTCATTTTACATTGATTTTCAGATTAAGCTTTTGGAGGAGAAAAACACAGTATTGATGCAAACCAATGTTAGTTTAGAAGAGGAGCTTCGAAAGGCAAATGCAGCCAAAGGACAGCTGGAAACCTACAAGAGACAGGTACCCAACTATTATAAATGCTAATAATTTTAATAATATTGCTAAATTGCTTTCTCTGCCCTTTCTGTCTAGGTGCTTGAACTCCAAAACAGGTTATCCGAGGAGTCCAAGAAGGCTGACAAAATGGAGTTTGAGTATAAAAGACTCAAAGAGAAAGTTGACTCTCTACAAAAAGAAAAAGATGTAGGCTGTTTGTACATTATTTTGTGAATGCATGTGACACTACCAGGATGTATGACTGAAATGAGACAAATCTATGTTCTACCAGCGAATGCGCTCAGAGAGGGACTCTTTAAAGGAGACGATAGAAGAGCTGCATTGTGTCCAAGCTCAAGAGGGGCTCACTTCAGGTATTGTGGAAACAGACAAAAAGTAATGGTTCATGATTCCTGAATTTATTGACATTTGTTATAGGAGTGTTTCCAAAGTTGGGCAGTGACGGTTCAGATTCTTTGGCTGCTGAAATCACTACTCCAGAGATGAGGTCAGTTATTCTCCTTCAGGATTGACAATTAAACAGGGTTGTGCGATGAACAAACAAACCTTAAAATAAATGCCAAACTTTGTGAAGTAATGTTTTCATGCAACTGAGCTGCCATAAAAGCTGTGATGTTTGGCAGTTCATCTGATTGTAGTGTTACTGAAGGAAGCTGAGGTTGGCCCAGAAAAAGCGATCTGCACGCTTATGTAAGAGAAGTTTGTGAGTTATATAATCTTAACAGATTCTTTCCAGGGCTCTTCTCAAGTGACTTTGGGCGACGTGGTTGTTTCATTCAGAGAGCATGTAGTTTTGATCGTAGATGTGTGAAGTTTTCGAACGGTCAAGTACAGTATTTCTTCATTCTCTTGGATGCAAAACATTCCTTGCTAGAAATAAGGTTTTCTGTTTTAATGAAAATATGAGATGCCAATGGAGTGAGACACATTTTCTATTTATCATAGACCAAGGATCCTTTTTCTAACTTAGTCTAGTTTTAAGGAGGAATAACAGCGGCAGAGAGTTTTACATATGGTTTTTAATTTTTTCATTTAAATCCTCAAAAGATCTATTGAGGATTTAAATAAAAAAATTAAAAAGAGGAGATTTTGCTATAGGGAAGGATGGAGCGTGAGATTGACAGGCGGATCGGTGCAGCGTGCGCAGTGATATCGGACCGTCGTGGTGAAGAGGGCGCTGAGCTGATTGCCGTTCAATCTTCGTTCGCATGGATGGATCTCTTGTATTAGTATTATTTTTATGTTTTTATACAGACGTTTAACTTTTGGCTTTATTATGAACACACCTCTCCAGATTGTAACCTTGGGCTAATATGCATCTGAGTGCATTTCTCACCCACTCATTCACCCTGAACTATTGTACTTGCTTATGCTGAGCCTCTTGTGTGAATGGATACTGGATATGGAAATTGTACGGATTACCTGCTCGTTCTTGTTCTGGGCATGTAAATGTGGAAACTAGATTGACTAGTCTAAAATTGAAATTTAAGCTGTAGGTTTTTGTTAGCTTCTCTGAAAAACATGCTTTGCCTTTGTTTCACTGCTCACAAGTACCATGTTTCTTTCCCACTGTACAGCCCAAATGTTTAAGCTCTATAACTTTGTTTTTTCAGAGAACACTTGATACGCTTACAACATGAAAACAAGATGTTGAAACTGGCCCAGGAAGGATCAGACAATGAGAAAATCGCATTATTACAAAGTCTTCTAGAGGATGCCAACCGCAGGAAAAACGAACTGGAGACTGAGAACCGGTCAGTCGCAGTGACACAACTGAGATTTACTACAAGATTAGTTAAAACCAAATTAGCCCGTCCATAATTGTATCCGTTTTCAAATTCTTTTCGGTTCTTTCATAGAGTGTAGACAAAGAAACTCTTAATGCTGTATTCAAATTACTTTCTCATGTATTAGTTTTGTTTTCCCCCCTTTTGTAGTTTAATTAATCAGCGCCTTATGGAAGAATCCAGTCAGGTGGGAGAGCTGCAGAAGTCTCTCCAAGAACAGGGCTCCAAAGCTGACGATGTGAGTTTACACTTAAATGACTTTATTTACAAATCCCCAACGACGTACGAAGACGATCTAGAGCTAAAACCCAAAATATGCATGGATCTCATTTACACTGAGAAGAACACACACTGCATTCCACCAGGAGAGCAAACACGGGTTTATCCTGTGTCTGCTGCTGCGTCACTACATCTGCATGTTTCTGCATATCATTTATATTGAATGTTTTTATTTTTTGCTTCATTTTGATTTAACATGTATTCTCTAACCAGACTATAGTAAGTATTCAAAGGTATAGACTTTTACATTCAAGTGGAATTCCAAAAATAAATGGGGGCTAAAAGATGAAACATTTATATCAATAAAAGATGGTACAAAATGGGCCTAAAAGCCAAAGATTCAATGAACTCTTGACATATTGGTTTATAAAGATAATATTTGTTTTGAGAATAATGGTTCTCATTATTAGCCTGATTTCCAGTTTTTTTATTTTTGGAATTTGAGGACCATAGTCACTGTAGTTCTGCTTTAGTCTGTGCTTCCTTAGCATATTATTGTTTAAATGTTTTTGCTTTTATCTGTAGTTTAGATCTTGTACCTGAATTATCCCCCATTCCATTTCCAACGTCTGAACTGAAAACAATTATTTTTCCCATATTTAGAAAGTGACTTTTCTCTTGAGTACTTGTGTCTTTAAATAAAACGACCTCCTTGTTTCCTCAGTCTTCCATACTTAAGAAGAAATATGAAGAACACATGTAAGTTACGTTTTAGGTTGGTAGCATGTTTTACTTTGTGTCCTCCTAAAAGTTGTACATTTTTAAAAGGGAGAAACTAAAGGAGCTGAATAATGACTTGTTGATGAAAAATGCCATGATTGATGAGATGGAGCCCAAATACAACGCCAGCTGTAAGTGAAACATTTATCTATGTATAATATGATATATTGGGTGTTTTCTTTAAAAAAATTTGACATTTTTTGATTTTGTATTTTTCAGCCCAACGAGTAGATGAGCTTGAAGATGCGTTGAAGAAGAAAGATGATGAGATGAAGCAGATGGAAGAAAGATATAAGAAATATCTTGAAAAGGCCAAGAGTGTAAGTGTTTTCATTAATCACTCAAACTTTATTTGTAAAGCAGTGTTTACACATGACCAGTTTCTCGTAGTGACTTTCTCACACATTCATATAACAGATGATAACGTCACACTGCGTCATTTCTGTTGTTTCAGGTCATCAGAACCTTAGACCCCAAACAAAACCAAGGGTCAGGTCCTGAGGTCCAGGCTTTGAAGAACCAGCTGCAAGAGAAGGAGAGGATGTTGCACTCATTAGAGGTCTGTATTTTGGGGTAAATTATGAGATGTTTTTGACTTTATTAGACTGAATTCATTTTTTCTCTAAAATAGAAGGAGATGGACAAGACAAAGACCCAGAGAGATTACGAGGAGAAGCTGATTGTATCTGCATGGTACAATATGGTAAAAAAAGACATTTTCTACTAAATTAAAAGTAACACATTATTTTGAAGTTGTATCATGTTGGAGAGTAGCCACTAGAGGGCAGCCTTGTTTCAAGCTCGTTTGTTAGTCAGATCTCTGAATGCTTAAAGTTGTAAGTTAATCACTGGTTGATCTGCTTATTTCAGGGTATGTCTATGCAGAAGAAGGCGGCAGAAGACCGACTGGCCAACACAGGCTCTGGTCAGTCCTTCCTGGCGCGGCAGAGGCAGGCGACCAGCTCCCGGCGCTCCTATCCAGGCCATGTGCAGCCGGCTACCGCGAGGTAGACTGCTGGAGCGGTTCTAATCCAGCGCCTGTTCTAGGGCTTCACTTTATTTTCACTGTTAACATTGATTAATGTTTTTTTGGATTTGTTTATTTTTAAATCTCTGTTTGGATGGGTATTCTACCATACCCATTTACCCAATATTTTGACCCTAAGTTTAATAATAATGGGATTTATTATTTGGCATCTTGCCTTTGACCACTTCTATACAACAGACAATGGACGTTTTGGTTGTGTTGAACCAGACTTATACACTTTTTTAAATGGCCTACATCTTGGATGTGTTGTCTAGTGACAGTCTTGAGTTCTTAAGTAAAGGTGCAGCAATAAGAATACTGTTATACTTTCTGTAGCCACTTTAACCATGCCAGCTTTGACAGGGTTTTCTGAAACATGCCTTTTGTGCCATAAGAGCTACTGACATAATATTACAAACAACCCAAGCTTGTGCATTTTGGGTGCAGTGTATCAGGCAATGTTATTTTATGATTAGCATTTGAAATGTTGTGCTTAATAATCATCCCATTTAGCCTGGGTTAGAATGCATTGCAGTTGCACTATCATGCTTTTCTTCATAATCTCATTGCTTGTGTATTTGACGCTACACTGACACTTTTCTAACCGCCACACTTCCTGAATGATAAGAATATTCTGAATATTGTTTTGGTCATCTCATGTGTCTGAATATTGTCTTTTTGTGTCCTCCCTCAACAGCAATGTCACTGCATGATTGGTCGTTTTCTGAAACAGCCGAGTCTCGTTGCCTGCATGAAGTCTTCTGTTTGCATGTGTTTACGGTGGCTGCGAACACAAAGCGCAGCGTGTGAACTAACCCTGTCCGCCGTCCTGCTCCGTAACCTCAGACAGACTACGCTTCTCTAACTCATTTATTGTTTTAACCCCTTTTGTGGAACTCATGATTCTCAACTCTACACATCAAGTCTGTTACCACTTGTTGTTATAAACCTGAAGCAGTAAGCCAATGTCAGTATAGATAACTGTTTGTTACAAAGTATTTTAGCCTCATTTACTTTTAATGTATTGTGTTATGTGGTTTGGCTGTTACATGATGCCTCAAAACCTTCACTTCCTCAAAACTTTCGAAAGTAACATTTTTGGCACTTGTTACAGAGAAGACTTTTTGGGCTTTAAGTTTTGCTGGGTGTGCTGTCACTTTATTTGAGCATGATCATGTCTGGGAGAGAAGAGCTGGCTGCATAACCCCAGCGCTGTAACGTTGGAGCAGCAGGCTGAAGACCGGACTTTTCTGCTTCAGCAGTCTTTTAGCTTTTTACCTTTGGTTTTTAATTGATTTGGACATGAGCCCTTATTAAGACTATTTGTATTATTCTATATGTACTGATCCAATATAGTATTTGTTTTTGTTTTTTCATCTTTACTTAACTCACACTATTGTCTTAGAAGAAATAGTTTCTACTTTGTTACCAGTCATTGCTCCATGATAATCAAAACATATATGATACTAGGGATGCACCGATCCAGATTTGATCCAATATTGATCTTGACTCTGACTTGAGTAAAAGTTAACACTCTGACATCCCGGGTTAATCAGCCAACAAATGTTTTTCTTATTTCAACTGAAACGCCTAATCAGGTCATTGGCTCAACCCATGTCATCGATGCGATACCCGATCCAACAGTATTTCCACACTTTGCCACAGATATCCAACACAGTACAGTATCAGTGCATCCCTATAAGAGGCGTTTTTATGGCCGTCATGATTAACAGGCCGAGCTTTGCATTTGTCTTGAATTCAAGTGTGTTTATATAGTTTAAACCAACATCTGGTGCTCCAAATGAAGTCAAGAGAAAGACACATTTGCATATTCAAACGACTCAAATACTCCTTTTAATGTCAGGTATTTAAATTAATGTCTTTAGTTGTTAATTAAATGTGCAAGTATTGTTTTTTCTTTCTGAATGAAATGCATAGGAGATGTATGCATGTTTGTGAGTCCTGTGTCCGTTGAGTGCCTTCATGGAGCATGTCGGCGGAGATCTAAGGACGTGTCCAGGCTTGATGAGGGCTGTCCCTGTTTTTTTTTTTATTTGACCTTGTGTTTAACCTGATATTGATACATGCAGTGGACTTAATCGCTATTTATTTTTCTGCCACTTTGACATCAGTATTGTTCATTTGTATAATTGCACATGCTTTTACTCTTGGAGGCGATGCAAACTCCCCAGATGACATTGTTACTGTATATTTTCTTATGCAACAAAACACTCAGCACTGACCCTGCAGTGTTGGTGACATTAAGAGGGTGAGTGTTGTTTGGAAACACAGATGCAAGACGCTTTGACTTCAATTTTTATTTACAAAACTTCATCTGAAAAGGAACAAAGCAATTGATATGGGATACATCGCAAATATTATGAAGTGCATGAAGCTGTTTCGTATATCTAAAGGTTTTTCTTCTACCATTACCGTCCACAAATATCCACTTTGTGAAAGGCGTTAAACTTTTTTTTTTAAATACTAACTACTTTTAATATTTAACCTTGACGGAACTGTTACTGTCCACACCAGCTGGTTTTGTTCTTGACAGTGTGTCTTTGAGTTGGAGTGTTTGCCATGCTATTTCAACTTTTTATATTTGAAATCTTGCAATGTCATTTTTGATTTAAAACTTTAGAAGTGCATTCATTACGAACAAACCTTAACATGTATTCTATCGTTAACAATGACTTCATCTATAAGCAAAACTTTGAAACTGTTTTTTTCTACTCCATACATTTTATTATCATATTATCCAAGTAGCAAATATTTTTTTTTCCCATTTGCCAAGTTTTATATGCCTGTATATGACTTCACTTTGTACAGACATTGTGTAAGAAGTGCAGAGTGCTCCAGCGTTTGGAGGAATTTAAAAAATGTCATCCATGGACAATGACGTGCTTCCTACACTGCATCACCTGGAGAACCTTGTAAATAAAGCTTGTATAAAAAATGAATGCATTTATCTTTGTCGATCTTGGTCTTATTGAATTATAATACTGTTTCTGGAAAAAAGTTATTTAATGAAAGAACACAACTGAAACTTGGAAAATTAGAGCGCTCAAGAGTCATTTTATTTCTATTTCAACTTAATGTAAAACCAATATTTGACATTAGCTCAGCACATCCCAAGCCTTTGTTATAATTTTGATGATTACAGTTCATTATGGCCCAAAGCATTTGGGGTTTTTACAAGCTGCGAGCCAAATATAAACCGCATGGCAAATAAAGACGTTTTATATCTCACGTTGTGTGTATTCATATATAAGTTTCACATTGGAGAATTCCAGAAGAAAACAGACTTCGATGAGTTTCACTTGTAGTTCAGTAGGCTATTTTCAAAAGATCAGGACAGGGATTTGATCTTAAGACATCTACAACCTTTTTAGCCATCCATCCATTTTCTACCCTTTTTTCCATTTCTGGGTCAGGGGGGTGGCAATCAGAGATGCCACCCAAGTCTCATAGCACCAGCCCCTCACTGACCCTCTGCAGGTGGTGAGTCCACAGGAGGACGGCCGCTCTCTGAGTGTGGGCATAGCCTTGATCTCTCAGTGGGGGCTTTGGGCAAAGTGGGGTTAAGTGTCTTGCCCAAGGACACAACGACAGCAGTCATCAGTGGGAGTCGGTGGAGAAGGTGCAGAGGTGGGAATTGAACCCACGACCTTCTGGCCTTAAGGCCAATGCTCTACCAACTGAGCTACTGTCGCCCCTCAACCTTTTTAGCATTTAATATTAAAGGGGACATATCATGAAAAATCCACTTTTTGTGCCTTAAATGCCTTATGTTGTGTAGTTGGAGCCTCTAGAAGTGCAAAAAAGTTTAAATCAGTCTCTTCATGGTATTAGTATTAGATAGCAATATGGCCTACGTGCAGGACTGTACAAGGACTCTACAAGGACTCCATGTTATGACTATGATGTGACTGTCTCTTTGTGACACGTATGTCTTTCGATGTGTGACGTGACAATGACTATATAAACTGTGTACTGCCTTTATTCTGTCTGGGAGAAAGAAACAAAGTAAACCAGTGGAACTTGAGAGCAACTTAAATAAACTTCCAGAGTTTGGCACACCACGATCCGTCTCTGTCTGCTAAATCCTAACAGATTTGGTGGAGAATGCGCGGCTCGGTTTGTGCCATTCTCTGGATTGTTTTGAGGGAGTTTGCTTTGTTTCTTTTCCTCTGCGTGAGAGATTGGCATGCTGTGTCTGGGAGCGGAGATTCCAGCAGGCTGGAAGAGCTGTTCCTGGATGCTTCTTGTCGCTTCTGTCACTTTTGTTTTTTAAATTGAAGATTCCGACGCGGAAAAGAGTTGGCAGACCTCTCGGACAGCCCGTGCGCACCTCTTTGACAAGAATAAGGTAAGCAGACACCTTTTTATATGTAAAGTCTGCATAATTGGATACTAGCTAAATTTTGGTCTGTTTTTGAGGTGTGTCGAACTCTCTAAATTGTGTTCAAATAAGTGAGGATCCATAAAGTGAAAAGGCCATAAGTGTATAGGATCCATAAAGTGAAAAGTGTTGGCCATTAAAGTGAATAGGATCCATAAAGTGAAAAGTGTTGGCCATTAAAGTGAATAGGATCCATAAAGTGAAAAGTGTTGGCCATTAAAGTGAATAGGATCCATAAAGTGAAAAGTGTTGGCCATTAAAGTGAATAGGATCCATAAAGTGAAAAGTGTTGGCCATTAAAGTGAGGATCCATAAGTGAAAAGTGTTGGCCATTAAAGTGAGGATCCATAAGTGAAACCATGGTGTAAACATAAAAGTTATTATAAAAAGGGAAATGTGTTAAAGAGGCCTTTGTTACAAAAGCTTTGAAATTGACGAATTTCAGGCTGATAAATGACAAAAGTACATAAGCAACAATATTTCAGTGATCACGGTTTAAATTACATACAGAAAAAGGGAGTTTTTGTTTTTGGAGTGAACAGAGTTCACCGGAGAATGCAGAGTTTTATCTAAAGTTGAGCTATGAGAGCTTTCGTGAGTTATTTACATTTTTTGCCGAGTTTTATCTACAGTTGAGCTATGAGAGGGCTGTTTCCAACAGTTGTTTTTGTTTTTTAGAAAGAGATTTTGAGTTTAAATTAGTTTGCTACCTCGATAAAATAGAAGCGGAAACGTTAAAGAAAAGAGTGCCTTTTGTTACTAGTGTGGAAAGTGATCACTTGTAGACTTGGATGACAAAAGTTTAAACTACAACATCAGTTATATTTGCTTAAAAAATTAATCTTGAAAGTTCTTCTTCTGTGTCTTTCTGCCTGTGTGTGCGCGTCTGTGTGAAAGGAACCCCCCCGCCCTCGCTGCTGCTGAGCTGCTGCTCTGATTTAAAGGGGAGCTACTGCTTTAGGAATTTGGCTTTTCATAGTTGTTATTCCGTTAAATTTGCTAAATTTGCCATTTGAACATTGTGTTAGACACAGTTAAACGTTTTTAAACACCATTAGGGAATAGAAGTTTTGAATTAGTATGTTTTTGAAACCCAAAGATTAGTACAAAAAGCTTTGCTTTTCTTTTTAAATCTGCTGCTTATTTTGTGAGTCCATTATTGTATCTCTGATATATTTCATAGCTGTTTGTGAGAATTTTTTCATGTATTTTTTATTTTAGTTACAAATGCCGTTTTTCAAACATTTAAATTAGAATCTCTTAAAAGTGATTAATGATTGTAGACTTCGTCTAAAAAAGAAAGAGGGAATT